GCGAAGTTATCCCCGTGGACGAGCTCTTCCACATCAACCAGGTGCCTTTGATGAACGGAATGTTTGGGGTTGGCAAGGGCGAATTTGTGGGGGAGATTGAAACACAACGCTTAATTATGAATTTAGTGCCACTCAATCGGCTGTGTGAAGCTTTGGTGGGAGACGTATGTACTCTCCCGAACATCTGCAGCTTTGGAACCTTTTTGCTCGATGACGGAGAGGTGGCCCTGATAAGTTCTGAAGACATACGTTGTTTTTTCTATCTGTTCAAGATACCCCCTGCCTGGAAGAAGTTCCTTGGGTTCAATCGCCCTGTACCTGCCGCTCTAGTACCGGAGAAGTGGCAGGGCCGTCCTTGCGCGCTGACCTCGTGTGTGTTGCCTATGGGGTTCATCAACAGTGTGTCCATCGCACAGCACGTTCACCGGAACATCGTCTCATGGAGTCAACAGGTTGAGGGAGGCTTAGATCAAGCATGTGAGATGCGGAAAGATCGGGTTAGCAGTACCGCGAAGTCACAGTATCGCGTATACCTTGACAACTTTGACCTGGTAGAGCGTTTTGACCCAACGACTGCGGCAACGCTTGAAGGACAGGTGGCAAGCACGGTTCAGGAACTTCGGGAGCAGTACGCCACACAGAACATACCACGTCACCCCAAGAAGGCCGTTGAGCGAGCTCCCGTTGCTGAGATACAGGGAGCGGTCGTTGATGGTGTCGCCGGTTTCGCCCAGCCGAAGGCAAGCAAGATCGCGTTGTACTGCCAGTTGGGACTGATGCTAGTTGAGCAAGGAAAATGCACCTTGAAAGAGCTACAGGTGGTTTGCGGTGGATTCGTGTACTTTGCCATGTTCAGGCGACCGTTGCTGTCAGTTCTGAATGAGGTGTGGAAGTTCATGGAAAAGCTGAAGCGGATGCCACCTGTGGTACGCCTTTCCGTGCCTCCCGAGGTACAAAGGGAGTTGCTTATGTTCATCCTGCTGACCCCCTTGGCCCAGATCGACTTCCGGTGCCCTTTCATGGAGCATGTGACTTGCAGTGATGCTTCAACTTCTGGTGGAGGCATATGCGTGAGTGAAGGCCTCACGGGCTATGGCATTGCAGCGTTGAACGCGGAATGTAGAGGTGATCTCCCGCGGGAGGGAGATACACTTCAGATCCTTACAGTGGGATTGTTCGACGGGTTAGGTGCGTTGCGCTTGGCAGTTGACAGCTTGGGAGTTGGAGTTGCCGGCCACCTGAGCGTTGAGAAGGAAGGCACAGGGCGTCGAGTCGTAGAGGCTTTCTTTCCGGACACCACCTTTCATGACAATGTGAGGACGGTGGACGCTGAGTTGGTAGGGAGCTTGGCGATGCGTTTCCCCTCTGTTGCCATGGTCCTTATTGGGGCCGGACCGCCATGTCAAGGTGTAAGCGGACTCAACGCTTCCAAGAAGGGAGCCCTACGTGATGCCCGCAGCTGCCTGTACCAAGAAGTACCCCGTATTCGGGACCTCTTCAAAAAGGCTTTTCCGTGGGCCCAGGTACGCCTTCTCATGGAATCAGTCGCTTCAATGTCGGAGGCCGACCGCAAGCTCATGAGCGAGGCAGTAGGTGTCACTCCATACAAAATCGATTCCGGGGGAATCAGCCTATGCCATCGACCTCGTCTCTACTGGGTTGATTGGGACTTGAGACAGGGGGAGGGAGTTACAATAACAGACGGGCCCGACTGGACCGGGTGTGGACAGGTTGACCTTGTGGCACAGATCGAGGAGACGGCATTCTTGGAGCAGGGCTGGTTTGTTACCGAGGGGTTCCGTCTCCCAACGTTTACCACGTCGCGGCCTCGTGAGCATCCTGGTTACCGACCAGCAGGTCTGGATCGATGTGCATCGCATGAGAGGCAGAGGTGGCAAGATGACCGTTATCGCTTCCCACCGTACCAGTACCGTGACCACAACACGCTTTGGACTCGCAAAGGAGCATCCCGGCGACCATCAGCGCAAGAAAGGGAGGCAATTATAGGCATCCCTGTGGGGTATACTCGCCCGTGTCTCCCGAAGGCCCAACAGGGCACAACAGAATGGGATGACACTCGCTTGACCTTGGTTGGCAACTCCTGGCATGTAGGAGTCGTGACTTGGTTGTTGGAACAGTTGCTCTCTCCCCTTGGCTTCTGCCGAGGGCAGAGCTTGCAAGCAATAGTCACTTACCTCACTCCAGGGAAAAGCTCCTCGTTGCAGGGCATCTTGTTGCGCCCGCCCCTTCTGACGAACAAGAAGCTCGTGGCGACCTTGGAAAAGCCGCTGCTGTTGAAGTTGTTGGGCTTGGTGTCCATGAAGGGTGAGGACTTGATGGTCACAGCGGCAAGTGAACCCCAGGTGAAATTCCACCGGCTACGGTCGAGCGTGCCGTCGAAATTGTGGCGATGGAAGGAGGTGACAGGTTGGCAGTGGCGCCACTCAGGTGAGCATATAAACGTCTTGGAGTTGAGGGCCATTTTGACGACTCTTCGATGGTTGGTTGTTCGACGAGGTGGATATAGCAAACGCTTCCTGCACTTGACCGACAGCTTGGTGTGCCTACACAGTTTGTCGCGTGGACGTAGTTCTTCACGAAAGTTGAGGCATGTGTTGACCAGGGTAAACTCTCTCCTTCTTGCAGCAGACCTCCACCCCATTTGGGGATATGTGCATACCTCACAGAACCCTGCCGACCGGCCTAGCCGGCGGCCGCTTGGACGCAAATGGGTAAAGTGAAGCAACATTTGGAGGGACGCAGTAAGGAAGAGAGAGCCAAAAATAGACAAGCCTTAGGTGCGTTGCGTGAGCTCACCGTCCAACCACAGACGCGCAAGAGATACAGCCAAGCAACACAGAAATTCTACGACTACGCCTTGACAAACGGTTTGAGCATACCCACCAGGTTCACAGCATTCGATGACATGCTTGCCGACTACGTTGAGCATTTATGGAGCATTGGAGAGGGACGTGCGCTGGCTAGCGACACGGTCGCAGGATTTCAAGACACGGAGCCACGGTTGAAAGGTCAACTACAAGTGACGTGGAGACTCTTGAAGACGTGGCACGTCAATGAAATTCCAAGCCGGGCACCGCCGCTCCCTGAAGAGTGCTTGTTCGCTATGCTTGGCTGGTGCTTGTTCAACCAAGAATATTCCTTCGGCCTCAGCTTGTTGTTGGGCTTCTATGGGTTGCTGCGAACGGGGGAGATCTTGGGTTTGTGTAACCATCACATCCTCATGACATCTCCCGACAAGCCGGCGGTAATTTCATTAGGTCTGACCAAGTCCGGAAAACGGGCTGGAGCAGCTGAGAGTGTAACAGTTTCAGTCACCGTGGCTCTCCAGTGGCTATGGGCCTGGAAGAAAACCTCCACCTCACGCTGTCCACTCACCCCTGCACCGCACCAGTGGCGTAAGAAGTTTTCCGAGCGCATTAAGGCTCTGCACCTAGAGGAATTCGAATTCCGCCCGTACAGCTTACGGCGGGGTGGGGCCACCTGTTGGTTCGGCCGACACGGTTCGTTAGATCGAATCATTGTCTTGGGCAGGTGGGCCGCAGCGCGCACAGCGCGTCTGTACATCAACGAGGGCCTGTCCACGCTAGCTTCCCTTAAGCTACCCCGCAAAGCTTTAATCCCGTATGTTCGCACGTTTCACCAGCATGACCTTACTCAACTGCCGAGTGCGCTTGAGCGTGCTAAAGCAGATCAGGGGGAGGTGGAAGGAGTGGTTCCTCGTGTGAAAGAACAGTGTGAGGGGGAAATTAATTTCCGTGTCAGGAGAAAGACATGGTTGGTACCTGTGCCCAAGGGTCCTGGCTGGGCAGGATGCTTGGGGGGTACGGAGGGGCGGCCACCTTTCTCTTGGCTTGGCAGGAAAGGTGGTCGTAGTGCCTCGGAATGTGAGTGGTTCAGGGAGTGAACATGATGTCTTTCTCGAAATACGTTGAATTTCCTTTAACATTTTTGACACATTCCTGCATGCGCGGGTGAAAACAATGGGTGCGAGTCTTTGGTCTTCGCCCCGAATTTAAAGACGGTCACCCTTCCGGTTTGAATCCGCAGCTTCTCGGCTCTGCGGCCACGCCCCCCCACCCAGTGTGAGGGGGAAATTAATTTCCGTGTCAGGAGAAAGACATGGTTGGTACCTGTGCCCAAGGGTCCTGGCTGGGCAGGATGCTTGGGGGGGTACGGAGGGGCGGCCACCTTTCTCTTGGCTTGGCAGGAAAGGTGGTCGTAGTGCCTCGGAATGTGAGTGGTTCAGGGAGTGAACATGATGTCTTTCTCGAAATACGTTGAATTTCCTTTAACATTTTTGACACATTCCTGCATGCGCGGGTGAAAACAATGGGTGCGAGTCTTTATATATATATATATTGTGGTATTAACATTATGATTTTGCTTGTCGACTCATCGTTTATAAATCGGTATAGAAGCAAGACGTCGGGTTTGAAAGGCCGTTCAACCAACAAGATCTTTTCTTAAGCGGTGTTGTGTGTTTTTTGGTTGATGTTCTTTGCTTATGTATTTCCTATGTTTATTTCTTTAGGCCTTTTCTATCATTATTTTAATTTGTTGTCCTTTGTTCATGTTTGCTTTGGTTTGGGCCTCCAGGCTTGTCTATGTTCTTTCTATTTCTTTCTCTTCCTTCTCTTCTTGTCTTATCTGAAGACAGACTTGATTCAGTTGCGGTAAAGCCAGGGTCGTTGACTCAACACGCGAGGCCTGAGTTCTGCAATGCTAGCATGTCGCAAGGGCGGTGCCTGGCAACTTGCGCTGGCTTTGCACTCGCTTTGCGAAGGCAATGACTTCAGCACTTTAGTCTGCAAGGGCAGGAGCCCCTAGTAGCTTCTTGTTCCTAGTAGTACGGCCAGGAGCCCCTAGTAGCGTCCTTGCTCCTAGTAGCGATGCCCTTTGCTCCTAGTAGCGTCCTTGCTCCTAGTAGTCTGCAAGGGCAGTGCGTAGGAGCGCCTATGCAACCGCACTGTTTGCCTAAGGTAATTGCATTGCGATTGGCGCTTGCGAGGAAGCGAGCCAGTGGCTTTTGGCGCTTCGACTCTTTTCCTCAAAATCAAATGAGTTTTGCCTCTTGGTCACGAGCAAAGCCGTTTGTTTGGGCTTTCTGTCTGACCTGTGACTGTGTGTTAGTTATGCATTTTAGCAGCCATTCTCTTCTTTTTCTGCCATCACACCTTTCCTTTCTTGTGTTCTTTGTGCTTTCTTGTGTTCACTTATTACGTTTACATTCGTTCAAGGCTTTCACGCCACCATGAGCGCTGCTGGGGCAGCGAAGAGGCCAGACACAAAGATGTTAGCCCTAGTAGCGTCCTTGCTCCTAGTAGCCATGCCAGGAGCCCCTAGTAGCTTCTTGTTCCTAGTAGTAAGGCCAGGAGCCCCTAGTAGCTTCTTGCTACTAATAGCGATGCCAGGAGCCCCTAGTAGCTTCTTACTTGTTTTTCTTATTATTTATTCCTTCCTGTTTCATTTCATTTAGACCTTCCTTCCTTTCTCGTTCCTTGCTTCCTTGATTGCTTCTTTTCGAGCTTCATGGTTAACAGCCTTCTCCGTTGCTGTTGCTGGTGCAAGTAGACCATGCAAGAAGGAAGGAGCAGCAGGGGGCAAAGAATGCAAGGCTCAATCTCCCACCTCGGCCTCCATCCAAAGTGCGAAGGTGGAATTTCCATAAAAGCATCTCTTAGCTTTAACCGAGTTACTACTAGGAGCAAGGACGCTACTAGGGGCTCCTGGCCTTACTACTAGTAACAAGAAGCTACTAGGGGCTCCTGAGATCGCTACTAGGAGCAAGGACGCTACTAGTTAACCAAGTTGTTTCCAGTTGGCATATCCATTTGGAAATCTCAATTCAGAGACGCTAAAGCGCTCTTGGCCTTGACATGATCTCCTTCTTGTTTGCCCAAACAGTTTCTTCTCTGTCCTGGCTATCTAGCTGATTTTGCCGGCGTTCCTTCGGTTTGTCTGTCGTTTCTTTCTCGTCTTGTCCATTCATGATTCGCACCTTGTAGATGTGCCCAATGATGTCCGACATGTCCTGGCCTCCAACCTAATGGCGTCCTTGCTCCTAGTAGCGATGCCAGGAGCCCTAGTAGCTTCTTGTTCCTAGTAGTAAGGCCAGGAGCCCCTAGTAGCTTCTTGCTACTAATAGCGATGGCCTCCAACCTACTAACGTGGCTGATTGATGGACAGCCATTTCTGTTTGGTACTCATGCAATTTTTTGGGTTCTGGGGGGTGGGGAAAAAATGGTCAAAGGGGGGTTCTATGTATACCGATCTGACTTGGCAGAACCGCTAGCCTTCCCAGTGGATCCAATTGTTTGTTGTGACATCACCTGAGTGTCCCAGGTGTCACTCGGAACTGAACCGGCCCTTGTTACTAGCAAGGCAGGAGCCCCTAGTAGCTTCTTGTTACTACTAGCGATGCCCCTTGCTCCTAGTAGCTTCTTGTTCCTAGCCCACAAACTGACGAACCTGCTTGAACTGTGATCCTAGAGACAGCTACCCCAAAAGTACTTGCGAAGCCGGAGGAGCAGCTACCCCACACCACAATTTTCAAGGTATGGACACTGAATGGTATTGAAATTCGACAAGCCTGTTTTTGTCGCGTCTTTTGTTCTTTGCTTTTAGCCCGCCAGGGAGGGTAGGCCGAGTAGGAAGAGGTAGCCAGTAGAAGAGAGGTAGCTACTACCTTACTTAAGCTACTACCTGCTGGACGCAGGACAGCTCGCGCTTCCTTGAAGAATCGCTCGCCCTAGTGATTTGGTTCCTAGATGTTTTGGGGAAACTTAACAGCTGACTCAACAGGCACCAGGTTGAAAGATTGTCATCGCAGTGTCCTTCTGGCGTTTCTTCTGTCTTAGGGTCCTTCCTACTTGGCTACGGATGTGTATATACACTTCGTTGTCACAGCACCCACCGCTGTGTGGTTTGGCCAGGTGGGAGACGTCGCTCTCGTTATTGCAGGGCATGGCAGAAAGTGTCCTGGTGCCTAGCCACTTGGTCGAATTTGTCCAATCGATCCTGCGTGCCTCTTCAATGTATGTTCCAAAAGGACTTCCCGTTGTTCGGCAAGTATGATGTTTTCTTGAGAAAATACAGCTATTCCACCAGGTGTCTAGTAACAAGTGCCTTACTAGTAGTAGCAAGTGCCTTACTAGTAGT